AGCAACACAGCCAATACAAATCAATGGAATTGTGTTGCCTTGCACTCATCCAATCATCCACCTGAAGATTTTGAAATCCAGTTGTAACCTTAAGTAAACTAGATTCACAGATATTCAGCAAGCAACAGCCTGGCCCCGCAAGCCTATAACTGGAGAACTTTGCCTTCAGTGACAGATGCATGCAGGCTCAAGCCCTGAGTTTGCTTGCAAGTGGTCAGTCAATGTTTTCTTTCATTGATCATTCAGTGCTGAGAGGTGCTAGAGGCATTCCAACCACAAGTGGATTAAGGACATCCAAAGTTAATGGAACCTATCTTATCAAGAGCAAGCCTAACATAACTCTTTTTTTCAATTGGGCTTGTAATTATTTTTAAACCAACTATACAATGGTGTGTTTCTATTTTCATAGCCTGCAAAATGTCTCAGAAAAATGACAGCTCTATTGTGAGTAGCATATAAGTAATATTTTCTAACAAAGTGGTGGATGTAATACCAATATATGTAATTGTTTTAACAAGTATAAAACATGTACAATTACAAACAAAATCTGTGCTCAAGTATACAGCTTGCTTGCAATTACCACTGATGCTGTATGTATTTTTAAACAAGCTATAATACTGTGATGATGCTGTAAACTTCTGTAGGCAAAAAAATGTTCTATTTAAAAATGTCAAGATGAAGGATGTAAATGTTCTTAAAGTGCTATCAACTAAAGATATGAATTTTCACAGAATATTCTAAAGGGATCTGTTACATGCTACAGATATACTTTACAACGTATTTATGGATCACACGCTAATCTATGTGAGAACAAACAGTACTATTTTATTACAAAATAAATGAATAAATAAGCAAAGGATATCCATGCCCATAAGCTGGATAATTTATTTCTGTTTTAAAAGGTATTTTGACCAATTCTATAGACCCCTCAAATGACAGGAGTTGGTACCTCACTGACAGAAGGAAACACTCCCCCTCGTTTCCCAGCCTCTCCCCACACAGATCACATTGCTGCTGGTGCAGGCAAGAGCTCCAGAATCAGCTGCATGGCAAAAAGGAACAGTTAGCTGGTTGCATAAAAACACTGCTAGCTTAGTATCTGTAGGATTTATATATACTCACAAATCCATTTATACTTCTTCTAAACAGTGGCATTTAGAACACTAACTGTTGCATGCAGTTACAATTTGCAGGTATTATACCTATGTTTTTATTGAGTGAAGACAAAGTTATTTTCTGAAAATCATAATGAAGAGTAAAAAATCACAATTTGGAGAACACATGTATATTTCAAAATGCTTTAAATATACATAGCTATAAGCACTCTTCCTGACACCTACATATATGATTTAAAGTAACTGCACAGAAAGTAATAGTTCAGATTTTTCCTGAAGAAGAACGTGGGTACTGTGTCACTGAACAGCACTGTAGTGAGACATGATCCTTTCCAACAGCAACCTGCCCTCAATGGCACCAGATCAAAGTTTCTGTCAAGCTCCCAGTATGAACAAAAGGGTTTCAGACCCTCTTCTTGGAACCTGATCAAATTGGTTGTGCTTAAAAAACAAGAAATTCTTGAAGAAATTCTTGTCATGCAACAGAATTATGACTGAGATGGATTTACGAAAAGGCAGTGGTCCCTAGGGAGCCTGAAGCACTTCATTTTCTAATACAGCTTTAAAGATGCAAGATTAATGTAAGGATTACAGGGGCTGTGGAACCGGGTCCCACCTACTCCACACAGCCCTGCCCAACAAGGGATATGATGACCTCCCAGCTTCAAACATCCAGTGACTATGTATTTCACAGTGCTGTGGTTTAACTGGCAGGTGACTGAAGCACACAGGTCTCTGGAAATCCATATCCAGGCAAGTTAATTACAATGAAGCTTCATTTCTATTCCATGAGTGCTAGTAAATTATCATGAGTGAGATGGCAGTTTGTCCTTGGGGAGAAACAAGTATGAAGTCCCATGCCCCAACAGAAGTTGGGAACAAGACCACAGAATGACTGAGCTTGGATGCCAGCTTCAGCTTTCCTACAGAGAAACACGAGGAGAGTGAAAGTGGTAATCATACTGTCAAAGTCCACAAGAAACTGACTTCAATGGGAATTTGAGGAACATAATTTTATCCAAACAGGCAATAGAACAGAACAACAACATGAAATCAGCATATCTATAACAAAACAATGCATATATGAAAAACCCTTCCAAGATAGTGCAAAGTTCAGAGATAATCTATTCTACATCACCAATAATTTCTTAGATGACATAACACAACTATGTATACCATCAAAGCTAGAAAGCAAGAGATCCAGAACTTCTAGCAGTAGGCAGATTAATTTCTTGCAGTACTACACCTGTTTAACACATAAATCACCCTTGATCCAACATTACTCTTTTTATGCCCCAGCAAGTACCAACAAGGGATACTGTACATTACATATTAATAAATATTTATTGGAACACAGTTTAGTTTTACAGTGTTTCTCTGGATCAAAACAGAAATCTACTGCTGAGGATGGTGCAAGAGAGGAAGCTCTCAGACAAGAGACGATTTACTTTTGTTGTTTTCTATTGGCCACCACGTCAGAGTTTTTGGATCACAACTCTCAAACACTAAAGGATTATGAAATAAATTGAGATATCCAGATCATTCATTCCATTTCATGTCCTTAAGTAGCTGCTACAGGAAAACACAAGAGAAGCATTCAGTCAATGAGTCAAAGGAAATAACTGCAGTGAGCAGTAGGAAAAGGCAAGCAAAAGACATAAGCAATACAGGCTTTGACTTTTTCAGAGGAGCTACTCGAGCTGCCTTTGTGACATTTATGCAGAGACCAGTACAGCCTGCGAGATGGGAATGTGAGCATTGTTTTACAGACATAATTGTTGTCAGACACCAAGCCCAAATAGTTAATGCATAACTCACGTAACAATGCATTTACAGAAAGGTTTGAGGAAAGAGTTGGACAGAAATATTTCAGTATTCCCATAAAAAGATCTATATACTGAAAGCAAAACACCAAAATGTCTTTTTTTCCCCTAAAGAAATAATCAGCCCATCTTTAAGAGTCTCAAAATTCTTTTTGTAAGGGCTGAAAGATGTTTTCACTGGCAGCAACAACAACAAAAAAATCACATTTTCAAATAATTATTCCTGATTACCAGTTCTATATATGTGACAGCCCTCATGAGAATCTACATAGATTACTGTGGAATACTTTTGCCTATGCAGATCACCAGAGACTTCAAAAGACTCAAGAGAAACAAGGAGTGTAGTCCAAAGCTAAATAAGGAGCAGAGATGGTGTATATAAAATGAATAGGCTTAAAAGATTAGAAGGTAGGAGATTTAAGGGATTCAATCATTTCTAAGGATCAGAGAGTAATATGAAAAACCAAGCAGGAACTTGCTCATTATGTATGTAGCTATATAACCTGCAGTGACAATTTAAAAATTAAAGCCACCTTTCAGGGAATATTCAGTGGACTACAAAACCCACTGGCTTACAGGAAACCAGAACAAACCACAAAGGAAGCAATGAGGACTAGCTTTGAAGAATTTAGGGTTGCATTATGTATTCACTTGGGGTTCAATCTGCTCAGGATCAATTCATTCAAGGCAGGTATCTGCTAACATAGGTGGGTCTATCTAACTATAGCCTAGCATTTCTTTTCAGGCTCTTCACTGGCTTCTGGGAAATGAAAACAAAAGGCTGAACTCTTAAAAACAATATAAGCATATTTAAGAAAATAATTAAAAGGATATAAAATACAAAGTAACTGCAGTGGTACATATTCATGTCCTGAAATGGTGGTGTTTTGTTTTTTTTTTAAAAGTGAAATGTTATCCTGTTTTTCTCATTAAGCAACTGAACTATTAAGCAGCAATATCCTTTATGCACTCAGTTTATAGATAAGGATATTCCTTCAAGATTTCCACAGCCTTCAAGAGATCTAAGCACATAGAAACCAGAAAACCAGAGACTGATGAGAGTCAGTAACTGTAACTCATGAAAGTCCAATGGCCACAAGGTCACTGGATGAGCAATACAATGAGCTCTTGCTGTCAGCAATAATCAGAAAGCTGAGGTGCACCCAAGAACAGCAAGTATCTTTTTAGGCTACAATGCAGATAATGATTTTGTTGTCTAACCCATTGAGCTCCCCAGCCATTTTATTTGGATGCATACTGAATACTCAAGTTTCATCCAGTACATTATTTGAAAGATAGTCTTTGCCATCTTGAAAACCATTGTAAAATTACAACAAATTCCAAAGTATATTAAAAAACTGCCAAAAATATTATTTGATACCTTACGCAATTTTAAACTTATATTTTCTCCTCCTAACCTAGACAGGTTCTATGATTAATTTATTATCATTTGTCCTGTTGGCATCCTCAGTGTTACAGATTAATTTCTGTTATAGCCTCATTATTTCAGTTCTATAAATACCAAATTTCATTTTACTTCTTTCTACAGTTACTTTGCAACCTGCTTTTTCTCCTTCATTTGGGACTCTCACTTCTAATTTAACACAAGTCAGTAGGCAAAGATTGAGCTGAAACCCAATAATTACACCTCCCTGCTCTAGAAAACAGAATCATTTTTCTTATGGACGGAAGCTGTTCTGATATCCCAGAAGCAATCCTAACAAAAAAATTGTAATAATAAAACAAAAAAAAACCCTCATGACTTGTCAGACTACTAAGAGAAAACGCTGGCTTTCATAATTTGAAAAGCCAACCTAGCTGGATTACAATACAGTATTTGTATTTGAGGAAGTGTAAAGTTGAATCATAACCCAGACTTCAGCACACTGGGTATATCTGGTTCCACCTGCAAGAACATTAAACCTTCACCCAATTCATCACTGACAAAACAAGTTACATCCGCTATAGCTGGCATTCAGTATGTGGCTGCCCACAGAAGACTTTTCAAGTACTTTATGTCCTTGAGTTTTGTTTACTACTTTCAGGCTTTAAGTTTTCTGACCTTTGCCTTTCAGCTTTTGCCATAAGTTCCTGGGATCCTCTGAAAGTTTAGGAAAGCTTCTGAGTGTTTCTCCTATAAGCGTGAGCACATCCTGAAATAAAAGAGGGACATGAAAATTATTAGGTTTTGGATTCCAGTCATTTGTCATGTACTTGTATCATAGGTCTGCCACTGGAAACTATATCCAGTCCCTCAAAAGCAACTAGGTAGGCTGTATCCATCATCACAATTTTGCTGGATTTTTAAAGCATCTTGTTTAAAAACTTTGTTGAACAATGTGGCCAGTGATCTGGCCCATACAGCACACAAGCAGAAAGCAATGCTGGTCACTAGAGACCACACTTCTACCTTCTGTGGATGGCTGCCAACATAGATGACAAAGAGCTCGATAGTACTGCAGAGCTCATACATTACACTGGCTGCTCCCCAGTGGTTTCTTCCCCAGGGATGTGAAGGAAAAAAAATCTGCTGCCCTTTTCAGAGAAGGAAAAAAAGTGCAAAAAATGAAGCCTGACTTGAGACTGAAGTTCTCAAATTTCAGCTACAGATAAAATGGATGCAAAAAAAATAATAATCAGGAGGCCAGCATTATTAGGAAAAAATGGAATGTGTGGTACAGTCCACTAATTCCCAATCTGCTCACACACACAGAAAGAAGTTTTGGAGCTCCAGAGAGCCATTTCTATCCTTTGCTCAGAAACAACTTGCTTTCAGTTTCACTCTGTATCAAGAAGTGCTAGAACTCTTCCTTGAGAAAGAGTATCCTGAAGAATAGCAGGGAATTCCGTAAATTCCAGCTTACATTATAGAAAATCCTTCTGGAATAGATTGTCTAACTATTACGCATGAATCTATGTTAGCATTGAGAAGATAATACTTTAAAGAAGTTTCACCACATCTGTAGAAAACGGTGAAGATCTGGCATTTCCAGACTCTGCAGAAACACAGAACTCTCAGAGGTATGTGGCTGTGGCATGTTATACAAAGTATTTCTGAAAAGATAACAGAAGACTTGCTGCAAAGCAATGTTTTCCCCTCCAGCTTTCAAAGTTCCCACAAATTTTTAATTAGGCCTTACTTTTTTCCTCTACCATATTCAGTTGGGAAGAAGTGACAGTCACCTGGCAAAACTAAGTCAATTTTGAGAAAAAACAAAAACATACACCACCAGAAAGAAAAAAAAAAAATCAATATGCACAGGCACGTACAAAAGCAAAAGCTCTACTCTAAAGCTGATATCACTGCAACTTAGAACAATAAACACTTGGGAACACACAAAGCAAGTAAACCTATGCTTCTGTGAATAGTGTAATGGGAAAACTTTGGTGTTCAGACTGTATCTTTGCAGAAAGTCAAATTCTCTTCTCTTCAAACTCATTTTCCCAGTGTTATCATATTCAAGCGACAAAAAAAAAGAAAACAAAAAATCACATACCTGTCATGGTTAAGAAAAAGCCTTAGAAGCAGACTCTAAGGAGCAAGCTGCCTCAGCCTCCATAAAATCCATTGCACATTGCAGTATCTTATTCAACAATTCTTAAGGCAAAGGATTTGGAGAAAGACTAGAATGGGAAGAGCTAACTCCTACATCATTTTGTTATTTGTCATTTTGTTTTGGACAGTCCATCAGAAAAACCGCAAGGAACTAATCAAAATGTACCCAAAACACTTCCAGGACATCATGAAAAAGACCTTCAGCTTATATAAATCAAGCAAGCTTAAATTACTTGATCAGCATGCTAGCCTCATGGCTTCATAACAACATGAAGCCAAGTTCCATTAAGAACTGTACTGCATTCAGATCAATTTGATTACATTACTATAAATTAGGGCAAAATCTGGCTTAAGAATTCTTTAGTTTTACTAAGTATAAAAGTGTTACTAAAATAAACTGATACACTTGCTTACTCTGGAGTAAATTTGTTCTTCCAATTTTTCCCGGAGTAGAGCTCTTTCCATTAGTATCTTCTTCTGTCTGAGAAAAGCAGTTTTGGCTAGCTCTGCCTTCTTCTTCTTACAGTCAGGGCACACTGAAGATCTGTGCACTTGAGCTTCTGTCACCTGAGGGATGAGACTTTGATGCAATGAGCAGTGTCTGTCCCAGCAAGATGGCTACTCCATTAAAAATAATAAAAATACAGATACAGACAGCATCTAAAGATGAATATTTTCTTTTGTAGGCGGCTGTAAATAATTACATAGTCTTTGTCACTGTGTCATCTTGATAAGCCTGTCTGAATGCTTTCACACTAAATATATTTGCTTTTCCTTATGTATTGCTCTCTCAAGCACTGATAACATAGACAGCTTCATTTAAAATTATCTGTATCTCAGAACCACAGTACCAAATTGTACTGCACTAGTTCTTCTGTAACAGGAAAACTTTCCCTGACACTTGAGGCTGTGTAAATAGTACTATAATAGTAAAAAAAAAAAAAAGTTATGATTGCAAATTAACACATCTGTGAGCAGTTATACCAACAAAATGCTGTAAGTAGCATAAGTCATGGGTGGATGCTCATTATGAACTTCAATTTCACCAGTGTAATCTCTGCATACTTTGTTAGTGTCAAATACATTAGGAGAACCATCAGCCATTAGTTACTCCTGATTGATGAGTAATTAAGGTTCCAGAGAGCTAGTCTGTGCATGATATCCAGCCTTCCACAACAGCTAATATATTAATTCCTGAAGGCTCAATTAAGTTAAATGAATGTGTTTTATCCCATGTTTTCAGCAAGCTGAGAGTACAAAGACTTGATCGTCACAACTGAGTAACAGCAATTGTTAATCAGCAGTAATTCCACCATATGCAACAGCCTGTCTGTAGCAAAGATGTTGTTGAGTACCCATGTTGATAATAAACATAAGGCCTTAAATACAAGCCATAGAGGTTACGATTATCTCAAATTTTAAGAGGAAAATAAATTCTGAATCAATTGGTTCAAACATCTACATGCAACTCTAAAGCAGAATACAAACAAAATTCTATTAGCAGTTTTCTTTGCAAAAATAAATGGTACTAATTTCTTAGGTTATTCTTCATGAAACCTTGAGCATATTTAATAACATTACACAAATCCAATATGTTTATGAATTATCAATAATTTTTATCTGATTTTATTTACACAGATTCCATCTTGTTACATAGGCCTAATACATTACTACAAGAGCAGTGGAATCAGTCCCACGTCTCAAGCCTCTGTATTCTTACTCTTGATTTCTCCTCCTCTGCATAAAAATGCTGTTACGTGGTGGTAAACACAGAAGTAGACATAGCAATCAAATTTACTTTTCTTAGAAAATGCATTATTACACTGTAATACAAATGAAAAGGCAACAAGAATTCTACAGAATGGTGGGTTGGTTAGTGCTGATAGAATAGAAGAATGTAAGTTGCTTATTTATATTGGTTGAGATTTCAGCAGGTAGCATCAAAGAATCATTATGCCAGAACTGACAGATACTATCCTGCTCACCCAGCTAACAGAGGAATATGTCAGTCATTTTTGCAATGCTGTATGGCAACAGATTAAAACCAGCACATGATAGAATGAAAGTAAAATTAATGACCATAATTGCCATTCAAAATTTTGTTTTGTTTTGATCAGAAACACTTTGGCAAATACAGACATTCTGTACCAATTTCAAGCAAGGCACAGGCATTTGCCAAGCCCAGATTTATGAGTAAAGGCATCTGTAGGTGATGACTGCTATAAGCACATATTCCAATCCATCTACATGCACAAAGTGAGAATGCCAGTATTGCTGGCCAAATACTACCAGCCTCAACCCTCTGGGAAGACACAGAGTTGAAGAGTTGTGTCAGAATGCCTACCTGACAGAGGGGGGAAAATATATTGAGCTGGTGAAAAAGAAAAGCACATCAAATTGTATAAAGATTATGTAAATGATTATTAATAATGGAACTGATTCTATTGGACATGCTTTAATTTTCAATATTACTAATATCTAACGGGAAGAAAGCTGGGGGCAGGGGGTGGCTTGTGCCTTTTGAAATACTTTTAATACTAGAGTTAACAAGACTACAAAATATAGCAATATACAAAATACTTCTATAAATAAATAACGAGTGCAAATGTAACCAGAATACAAGGCTTCTAGGGCATACCATGGACTGCAGTAACTGATCATCCCAGTCTCAGTCAATAACAAATCACCACCACTGTTCCATCACACACAGTACCTGTTTAATGGTCTCCCGGAAGTTTTTCAGACGAATTCTGTTCATTAGCTGATGGGGAACAATGCAGTTCAAGTCACTCGCCTCTGATGCCTTTGATGTGAATCCACGCTGCTGCTTTCTTGAATTGCCACCACTTGCCTGCTTAGAGATCAGCTCCTGCAGCACCCTCCTTATCTTAATGATGCAAAAAGACTGGAGAGCATCCAGTTCTTCCTCTGATAACTCAGTAGTTTCTGTCAACAAAACGAAGTGTCAATTATTACAACAGAGGAAGAGAATTACTGGTCTTCTATCCGTGCAACCTCATATTATCTATTTAATAAAAAACAAACCAAATGTCAAGCCTGGAAGCAATGACTGTAATAACAGTAATAACAATTTAAACCAGAATCTGGATAACAACTGCAGGCACTTACATAACAGATGCCTCTGAATAGTCTCTAAAGAGAAAAGATAAGAACCCTAAAGATTTATACCACTTAATGATACTGCATAAAGTTATTAGTAAATCTAGTACTACTTTTCAAGTACTGAATCAGAAGCTATTGCAGTAACTCTGAAGAACAATTCAAACAACCCACAGTTCTGTGGGGCTTTTTGTTTGCTTGGTTTTTCCAAGGAAATGCAATTACATTAAAAGTATTTTCCTCTCAGGCTTCAACGATCCTTTAAGAAACTTTTATATGACCTTGTTTAAACAAGATCTTTCACTCTTATCTCCTCCCTTGCCAATGACACGTAATAATAAACAGATTACATTTCAGATGGGCATCCAAGGATGGATTTAAAACTTCACACAGTGCTTTGAGGGAGATTTTCCACTTATTTAAACAGAGCCAATCAATACAGACAACCAACACGAGTAAGCTTTTTGATGTTGCAATTTCATTATTTCATGAGCTTAAGCATGTAACGACGCTGGGCTGTATTACATGGTCTTCAGAGATTCCATTTTTTCAACTATTTAAAGAGGGGATTCTGCTTCTCTACCGTTATAACACTAATTTTGTTTTTTTTTTAATGCAATTTCTGAAGCCCAGTGAAACACTTGACTGTCTATAATGAAAAGAGAAGCAAGGGAACCAAACAAATACAGTAATCATTACTAGAAGTCTGATGGATGCCTCTGCATATAGCTAATGCTAACACAGTACTCCCTTTTCAGAGCTGCACTCTGACAGCCAAAAAGAAGGCAGACAATAACAACTCCATATGTGGTTTGTTTTGACTTAAGTACTCAAATGGAGAGCTTACCACTTAGGCAATCTTTCCTTATTACATGTTTCACTCATTGTCAGTAATTTCTCTTAAATTCAATTTTACTTCTTCTGGACAAGCACTGTGTATTTCAGGGTGCTTCTTTGATAACCAGTACATTGTCACTAAACTCCTTAAATGTACTGGCATACTGTACTTAAATGTACTGTGGCATAACCATAACACAAATCTTTACAACGATGAACAACGTAAACATAAAACACTTCCTAAATATGCTGTGATTAATGGCACCTGAGGCAGGCAAACCACTGCAGTGGAATTTCGTAAGGAAACCAGACACGTCTTCAGAAATGCAGCCAATCCTTATGAAGATTAAGTGGATCCACAGTTAAGACTAAGCAAAGCAGAAATCAGTAAGCTTTGCCTTATGGACATGGAAAATGTGTGATTTAAGTGCAGCTGTCACAGTTCAAAAATCAATCATCATACAGCAGTTTATTCCTCCTTACAAACTGGTATATCGAAATCACTGAAGACACAGTGATACTTCATAGATGGATGAATAAGAACTACTGGTACTGTAAAATGCAATTTAATATTTTTTTTTCCTTGGGTAGGATTATGAAAGTTTGCACAGGTAAACACCACCAGACTGTTTTCCTTGCAAAACCATGTAAGACATGCATTGGTATTTGGTTTAACTACATTAAAAAATAGATACATATTCACACAGATCAAATTAAAAAAATGAAAGCATTACTGTGATGGTAAAAAAAAAAAAAGAACAAATCAATTAAAAATACTAAGTTGAGAACTTTAATGCAAAAGTAAAATACATGGGGTCTGCTGAATACTCTGTGACAATTTAATACCAGACTAACTCATTCAGTGAAGTTTCTTCTGACACGTCGAAGTGCACTTGAATGAAGAACTGGTTTCTAATAATGCACACGTTAATTGTGTGCTGCCAGGCATCCACCCATTTGCTCATAGACACCTACAGACATCAGAAGAGACACTAGCAAAGAGAAGAGGAAGTTTTAAACTTTATCAGTAAGTAAACTTCAAAAGAATAGAAGTGTTCAAAGATCTAGGACTACAATTTTACGGAAATAAGAACCAGAAGTGGTAAGAGAAGTAAGCACACAGTTAAATTCAGGGAGAAGAAGAAAAAAGAAGACATTTAACTGCATAATAACTATTTAGACTTTCAGATTTTCTTCTAGGTAAAAGAGGTTTGCCTGTTCTTTTGCTGAAGGAAGTGAGATTTATGCAACAGGACCTATGTTGAAACTAGTTGGTTTTCAGTTCCATTTCTTGTCTTTCTCTCTTTTCCATCTTTGGACTAGACATGCTTGAATGCTCAATCTCCATTTGTGGTGGCAAATTTAAATGTCATTGTATATCTGTCTATAGAGAATACCTGCCAGTGCCAATTACTGTTCCAGAAGCATGCTTTGCTGATGCTTCATTGCCCCAAGTCGTGCATTTCATACCATCTTCCTTGGAGGATAAGGAAGGGATAGGTGTTAAGAAGAACAAAACCAGACACCAGAACAGACATCAACCATGTATGTGATGAGAACCATGTATCACACGGACACAGGCTAACAAAGCACAGACTGTTTAGAAAGTAAAGCACAAACTGAACCAACAAGCTGCTCTGATAAAAGCAGCAGAGAGTATCTCACCACTGGAGATAAAATAATCTCCACATCTACATTATAAAACCGGGCACGTGCCTTGTAACTAAATGACCTACATAGATTTTTACTTTCTGTATGCAACTACATTTTTAAGGGTAAGATTTTAAAACTACAGAAGTGATGGAGGGAAAAAAAAAAAAAAAAAAGGAAATCTACTGTTTTCCTGGCTTTCCTTTATCTCTGATGTCTAATTTTGATTAAATAGAAAAAACTTAGAGCATAATAATAACAATATGCCTACCATCTTCTACTATAAGAAGAAAAAAATGTGGAATGGATAAAGGAGAGATAATTGTGAAAGTCAGTAACTGATTACTACTCAGTAGGATCGACAAGATAACATTTTCATAATTACCTAAATTGCATTCATACAATTGAGTATAGCAATTCAGATTAACACACTGATGGCCCAATCAGCAAACGTAAGTTTCAAAAGATTTGTTCAGATAGTATAACACTGATAATATGCCATCTGATAAACCAAGCTATTTAACAGAAATATGAATTCAAAGCCAACTATGTTCTCCAGCACGGTGCAGGATATCCTCAGTTTCCACTCAACAATCATTACAAGAGACAACAAAAAAAATCTCACAGAATTCATATTTCTCAGGAGAAACTCTCTCCCAGTTCCCACATGGATGTTGCAGGTTGGAATTTCCCCATTTGGCCTGTATCAATGCTATTTTACTACTGAATAGTAAAGCTTTCTAACAGATTGGTGGATGAAAAGATAGAACTCTGAAACCCCAGGGCCTGAGCCTGCTGGAGTCCCACACCTTGTGCATATAACCAAGCAGGAAGATTAAGTGCCAACAAACACAGGATTAAAAACGAGCCAGCAAAGACTAATGGGTACCTGCTCCCTCCTGCAAACACAATAGTTAGAGCTTCCTCAATTTTTATAGGCAACTACTACTACTTTAATAAATACTTTTAGTGAACTACTATTTGCTGAGCCAATTTAAATACTAGGACATTTGGAAGTTAGTACACGAAGCACACACAAACTAGATCTAGATTCCAGAAATAGCTGGGCAACTGGAAAAAGTGAATACAGAAAAACAAATCCTTATGTTTCCCTCAGTGCACCCACCTGCACACACATGCCAGCACCTTTCACCCGAACACCACAAACTGCAGGTATTTGTATCTACCCTGGACTTTCTTACCTTTACATTTCCCAGGGTTGATACCAGTACCATAATAAGCAGAGCAGTTTAAGTTGTCAAAATTGACCGACATCCTGCATTTCAGTATTTCAGCCACAGAGCTGTCTAATTCTGCTCAAACTTTTCTGTACCTCTAAATAACGTGCACTAACAACCAAAACTCTTACTCTAGCTGGCAGCAGTACAGTGGTAACACTGCATAAAAAAAAACAACAAGCAAAGCACTTAACACAGACACCTTACAAGCTAACGTAAGTGTGAATCTCTCAATAGGAGCAAAAGCCAGGCTGCTAAAAAGCCCCACCTGAACTTTCAGACATACCTGAACCAAAGAACTGTTGGTTTCCTGTAGTAAATATCAAAGATGCTTAACTGTCTTCAGAATAATTGAGAGACTTGGAGACTTAGAAGAATAGAGTGAGGCTTTTTGTGATGCATTTTTCCAATAATTAGTTGCTACACAACTGAGGTAAAGGTCCAAGGAAGAAGAAGAGAAAGCAACAGTTACAATAAAAACTTCCTCACTTCTCCTGATGCAAGCATCAAGGTTTTTCTCTTTTAAGCCATAAATAAATCTAGCAAAAACAAGACTCATGTTCCAGGGCATTCCTATATGCAAAACAAGATTTTCCTCATTTAACTGTATCAGTAGTATGACATAAAAATTCTTGCTTTATTACCCATAGATGAATTCAAAAGTGACATGCATATTCAGTGCATACATCATTCATTTTCTAAATTGACAGAGGGGAATTAACTGTGCAGCAGCCTAGCTCTAGGAGATCTCATTTTCTATTATGCTTTAAATGACACCAAGTTGATAAAATAATAAGGGGCTCAGAGCCCACTGAGTGCTGAATTAAGCCAAAGATGAGAAGACATCCATAGGCATCAGCATACAGAAGTTGCTGTGCTTATTCTGTGTGTATGTTAGCTGTGTACTTTTTTTCTAATAAAAGCAGACTCTTAAATATCAATGATGATAAGTTTGGGGATAACCTGTCCACTGCATGCCAACATTGCTTTCATATGAATGAAGCCTAAGCATGAACCTTCTTATTGACAGAATTAGGAAGCACGTTGTACCCAAAGTGCTTAACTACTTAGATGATCAGGGATAGCACAGACAGAGAGCAATGCATCATTTTACACATCACCTTGAGCTAAAAGACTCAGCGAACAGCCTGCCTATACCTACCCACAGCCCATAAGCTGAAGACAGAACGTTTCTTTGAGCAGCATTCAGAGGATGAAGTCTTGCCAATCAATCTTCAAGGAAAACCCTATAGAGATCTAAAACATTCTTAACGCTACATTGCTGTTTATAATTTGTTCAATGAGTCTGAGTTCAGCAGGTTCTCTTCAGTTTTGCTATCAATCAGATGATCATGAGACTCTGATGTATTTTAGGAAGATTATCTCAGCATAGCTCACCAGGAGAGGCCTCACTACTAAAAATAATGTACATTACTTGTCTTGACTCCATGAAGAAACACAATAATAGAAAGATAAAAGCTGAAGATGACTTAGGAACTCATAACACTGACTCACCACGGTTGTGAATGAGCTATGCAATTAAGAGAAGTGTAAGAATGATCTTAGGGCACGCTCCCCTATGGTGTATGGGGAGTTTCAGGATGCTTCTATACAAGCGCAATGTCACAGAGTACCTAGACCTGGTTTATCAGTCTTAGAGCAGACCTCCAAAACTTTTGATATTTTTCCCTACATACATGCAAAGGAAGATACCCTGCTTCAATTATTTTTCTTGCTCAACTACAACTTTCTTGCTCTTTTTTTTTTTTAATTAAAAATAGTATCTCTGACCCACTTTTTAGAGAGATTTGAGCAGTACTTCCATCCCACCATCTGCTCTCACATTTCCTTGCATAACCAGTGCATGCAAAAAGCCTCTTTCTTTCCTCTCTTCCCCACTCCTCCACACACTACATCATTGTGTTGGCTGAAGTTGTTCCATTGTTCTTGCCAAAGCTGGTGCCCTGCTGCCTCCTGCAGCTTAGAAAAGGAACTCTGAGGGCTCTCTGTGAGTAATTTTATTTTATTATGTTGGCCCACAACATCAATAGGAAGATATTGGTGGTATGGCAATAGAGGTTGAACCTTCCCAATATTCCATCACATTCTGTTGCTGTGTGACAGATGGCAGCAGAGGGGCAGTCTGACAGAATGGCATCTGACATGGAAGTGCATATGAAACCAAGGTGTGTCACTGAATTCCTCTGTGGAAAAAAACTGCACTCACTGACATTCACTGATGCTTGCTGAACATTTACAAAGACCAAACAGAGGATGTCAACACAGTGGGGAGTGGGTGCTTCATTTCAGCAGTAGCAACACAAAGACAGTCATGCATAACTTGACGCCACGAAATAAAGAGCATCACAACTAGCTCACCTCCATGAATTAGCTAATGCTGGTAACTATGCTGAAAAACTGTTTGGTAGCTGAAAATTTGCTCTATTACATAGTGTTATTGTGTTCTTTGTATCTGCTGTCATTTCCATGGACATAAATAGGAGGCATTACTTTAGGAGCAACTTATGTAAAACATAGCAAACCAGCGATTCAATAATTAACACAGATGATCTGCAGGGTGAAAACATTTCACCTGTTTTGAAAGCATGTTTATTTTTACTGAGAAAACACACCCCAGTACCTATACAGCTGGAGAGGGGAAAAAAACAGTCCAGTAAAATCGAGATTTTACAGTTAAAAGTTATCCCTGTTTTAAATTTCTGCAGATTTATCCACACCTTGTAATAACACATGAACAGTAAAATGTCTCTGCACCAGGAGCAGCAAACCTATGTGTTACAGCACACAAACTGTTCTGTTTTTTCCTTCCAAGAAAGCAGAAAAGAGAAGCTTCCTGACTAATTGTGTCTGGTTAATTACCTGGCTTATCTTTAATAGCTTACACATGACATTTTAGCCTAGCTAAGAATTCTGATCCCCCCTTTTTTTTTTTTTGTCAAAAGAAGAATTATCAACTCTGCCTAAGTTAGCGAACTCACCAGCATGAGTTTTGATGATGAATTTTTCTTGTTTAATGCCAGCTTCCTTATTTTTTAGGATATCAATCAGCTTTCCAATGAAATCTCTTTCTGCAGCTGCAGAATCAACTACTTCAGACTTCTCGTCTATGACAGAAAAAAAAAAAAAAAAAAAAAAAAAGATGTATTTGATCATATATTGTAAAAAAATGAAGATTACTAAACCAAGAGGCAAATCCTCCACTTGAACATGGCTGAATTTTCCCTGGTGTTGAAAAAGAAGCCTCAAGCCACAGGACTTTACAATTTATATCAACAACTTCAGGTTGAGATACCAAGGAAGTTTCTATCCCATAAAAGTATCTCTCACTGCTTATTTCTAATCACTCCACTGAAAGATTATAAGATAAGCTGGAAAGAAGAGAGTTGCACATTCCATTTTGTCTGCAGTGCTAACTTAACCTCGATCAAGGCCTGCATAGGCTCTTCATTATGTTGCAACACAAATACTCATGGGAGCACAGGTGAACTGAATCTGGAAAACATGACAGACTTAAGTAGTCTGAAAAATCAGTGCCACTGACAGAAAGGTAAGCATGGCATGGTTCCAGACAACACCTGTCTTCTCTGATCTGTTTTCAGGATAGCAATAGCAAATTCAGTAGGCTTACAGAAGAAGATAATGGAGACATCAGCGTAAAGTTTTACACAGTTATTTATATATGCTGCTCTCTACAAGGTATCAACTGCAGAAAACTATCAACTTCTCAAATATTTTTTCTATGCATTATTTCCTGATTTTTTACTTAACAAGTACCATTCAGAAAACTCCATAATTTCATGGAATATTAACCTTATAAAGATACAAAGTAGTAGGACTTACTAAAAGCACCTCCACAAATAGAGCACATGCTTCTGGATGGCGAAAACAAGGATTTAAATGGTTAGATATGGAATGATTTCAAAATGTTGTATATCCAGAAAAAAAAGGTTTAATAAACCCCATCATTTGTAAAAACTAATTTTTACAAGCCAAACTGTTCAGCTTAATCCATTAGACACTGTTCAAGTATAGAAGTGTAGCATGAATAAGACATCACAGAAATAATAATCTTTTTCAATTTTTTTAAGCACTGATCTCCAAGGCTATACTCCATTCAGTTTTCACATTTTTGCAAATTCAAGTCTCCAGTGCCCAGATCTAAAGCTGTAAGAGATAGGTCTGAAGTATGGTAAGCTCTCCATACCTGTATGACTTTGGCCTCCCAACCACAACATGCTTTCCCCTGGATCCAACACAGCAGAAAGCTCTGAATCTTCTGTGGAACAAAACAATTCAGATGATTTGCTCTCGCGCTGGCAGCAGGCTACTTCTTCCTCACTGAAGGATTCCCAGGTATCTTCTGAATAGTCAAGGACAGAGCTAGCATAACTCTGGCTCAATTCCTTCTGCTGCTTTTCATAGTCACCAGAGCCATCTGATGAGGTAGTAGTCATGGTGCAACACTACAAATAAAAACAGAATAAAAGCATATCGCAGTTTCAGTAACACAGGAAGAACAACTGAATTACTTACAGCTATGGGGACATGTGGACAAATACTATAGCTCAGCTCAAATCCTATTTAGCCACCAAAACAAGTGGATAAAATAACTACTTAATGTGTTACATCAATGCAACACCCTTGAAAGCACTACTGCTGATCAAAGAATGCATTATCAAAATCTGCTGGGTAAGCATACAATAACAATTACCATCAAGCACTGCCAATAAATTTTGATGAGCATTTCTTTTGATTTTGAATGTAATGAATTACAGGTAACACTTGGATTGAGTCATTCATGAAAACAAAGGTGATTTTTAAAAACAGATTTTGTTTTTCTTAGATTAAACCTCCCACCTCTCAAAAAAGCAAACTCTCCTTATTTAGATTAGATTTTGCCCAGAATACTAGAAAATAAGCACAAGCCTGCTAATGTTCTCAAAATGAAGATAGCCATGCTCACAGTGTAGGAGAAACAAAAAACAAAAAGCTCTCCAGAACAAAGTTTGAGGAATAAAATAGATCTCAGACGCGTAGCTACTATGTAAAGCTTTAAGGCTTTATTCTTTTCTTTTTTTATTAGAATGATTCACTACCCATTCTCCCTTTGAATCTAGCAGTTCTCCTAAATAATTTCACCCCATTTCTTCTCCTGCTCCCATAAGGAGAATAAATGAATGGGTGGTGTGCCTTTGGAAAGATGTTACAGCAGCAACAGCTGTGGCTCTTCCATCAGAAAAAACAGAACCCCAGAGTGATGAAAGTGGGTAAACAAAGGAACCATCACCCTGAAGTTCAGCTACGCCATGAACTTTGGTGTTCATTAACTGTTTAGCTTGGAGAAGAAAAGGCTTTGGGATGGCCTCACTGTGGCCTTCAAATATTTGGAAGGAGCATATAAACAGGAGGGAGTACATCTGTTTATGAGGGTGGATAGCGATAGGATAAGGGGGAATGGCTTTAAACTGAGGCAGGAGATGTTTAGGTTAGATATTAAGAGGAGGTTTTTCACTCAGAAGGTGGTGATGCACTGGAACAGGTTGCCCAAGGAGGTTATGGATGCCCCTTCCCCGAAGACAGTCAAGGCCAGGCTGGATACAGGTCACTATGGTTCTTTTTAACCTAGGCCATTCTTAGTTTTGAAGGTGCTGACTTTAGCTATTTCTCTCCTAGAAGTGCACTGCTGTCTGTTCTACATGCCTTGTTACTACCAAGGTCCTTTGGTGAACTGTGTACAGACTGCATACCCTAAGAAGTTCAGGGTTTTTCCCAACAGCTGATTTCCAAAAGCAATTTGTAACACCAATTTCTAAGACCAAAAGTTTAATCTTTGTTTTAACGTGTGCCAGAAGTTCTGATCTAACCTTTAAATATTAATAAATACTTAGTCATTTCTTTGTTCACTACACTAACATTAATTCAGACTTGTTAATTAGATGAGATCCAACAGATAAAAATAATAGGAGCTGCAAACTGAGTCAGTGTTCTAGCCACAGCTGGCCTAAAGAGCTGCAGCTGCACACAGATAGAAGAGACAACCATCAACCCATCCCTGCCACTCACAGTAGCCATATTCCTCAGTGCCAAATCTTTTGAAAACCTCTGGAGGTGACTTCACCATCTCCCCGTGCAGCTTGTTCCACCACCTCACTGCTCTTTCTGAGAAGAGATTTCTTCTAAAATCCAACCTGAACCTTCTCTGGCACAATTTGAGACCATCATGTCCTATAGCAGTTACCAAGGAGAAGAAGCTGACCCTCACCTTATCACAACCTGCTTTCAGAGAGTTGCAGAGAACAGTAAGGATTCCCCTGAGCTTCCTCTTCTCCAGAGTAAGGAATTCCAGTTCCTTCAGCCACTCTTTGTAACGCTTGTGCTCTACACCTTTCACAGCTTCACTGCCCTCCTCTGGATAGACACCAGGGCTCCAAAGACTTCCTTGTAGCAAGGGACCAAAAGCTGAACACAGTACTCAAGGTGCAGCCTCAGCAGACTGTACAAGAGGATATAGCTGCCACTGACAAGTTCTCAAATCACCCAAGAAAGATACCGGTCACAATTCAGTAATAAAAAGAAATAGTTTAACCCTTTCCAAGGATTAGGGCTCACTGAAAAACTCCTAAAAGAGACAATCTCCAAGCAGAGATGCTTTCCCTTCAGCTGCCAGGCTTTGAAAGAGATTAGAGTCCACCCCTTCCAGTCGCACAAGTGAACTGCTTGCGTCTGTGCTCCCGGGGTTGGCCGAGCCCCTTCACCAGGTGCTCAATCAGCGGTTCAGGCTGTGACCCAACAGCTGCCGTGCACCACAGCTGAGCACAGAGGGAGGACTGCCTCCCTGCCGGCTGCACTATTTCTGATGCAAGCCAGGACGCCGCTGGCCGCCTTGTTTACCTGGGCTCCTGTTCAGCTGGCTGCCAGCTAACACCCTCACAGCTGTTTTAGTCACTCTGCCCCAAGCCCGCAGCACTGCGAGGGGCTGCTGTGAGCGAAGCGCAGGACTCGGCGCTTTGCCTTCCTGAAGCTCATACAACCGACTTCAGCCCAGCGATCCAGCCTGCCCGCACCCCTCGGTGGGCCTTCCCGGCGCCAGGCTGACGGCCGCTTCCTCCCAGCTTTGTGTCATCAGCAGCCTTATTGAGGGCATTCGATCCCTTTGCTACAGCAGGTAGCAGCCAACGGGAAAGCCTACTGCATCCACTTCCCGGTCAAAGCCCCACCGCGGCAGACGCTGTCCTTCCTTCAGTTATTAATCTGTATCTCAAAGGACGAACCCCCTTCAGAACGCCGTAACCGCACGCTGGGGCCTTCCTTTACAGCCAGACTGCGTGGCGCTGGGCTCGAGCGCTGTACTTACGGGCGCAGCCTTACACACAGCGAACAAACAGCTCGGCTTCCCTTCCCCCGCCGCCTCCGGCCCGGCACGAGGCCCGGCCCCAGCGCATCCCGCCCCGCCCCGCCCCGCCCGGCCGCGGAGCAGAGAGCGGCGGAGTGCGGAGGGCGCGGAGCGGGCTGTGGGGCGCCGTGCTGCGGGGCGCCGTGCTGCGGGAGCTGGGCTCGGCGCCGCCGTCTTCGCGCCCTCCCTGCTCCTCAGGCAGCGATCATCTGTGAAAAACGAGGGCATCCACCACCTCTCTGCGCAACCTGTGCCAGCGCCTCACCACCCTGAATGTAAAAACCTTCTTTACGTCCGATCTAAATGCCCCTCTTTTCGTTCGAAACCACTTCCCTTTGTCCTGTCACAACAGACCTCAAAAGAGCCTGTCCCCTTCTTTCCTATCAGCCCCCTTTAGATACTGAAAGGAACTGGGCTGGCCTAGCTTGACTTTGAGATATTTGGGACACGAATCTTGTCTTCTCTCATGTTTCATTATGTGCAGCAGCTCAAGCGATGTGGATTCTCTTGAAACAGAGACTTCAATGTGCCACTCTTATAATGTCAAGAAACAATTTGGCCAGCATAAGCAAGGAAGTGAATACTGATGCAGTGAGTGTAAGAGGAATGAACAGCTCATATTTAAGTGTTTTAGCATTCAGTGTTTCGCTGCTTGGTGCTGGTCCTTTTCAAGAAACAAAAATAATTTACATGGTAAATGTTAATTTCATATTCCCCATCAATACAAATTAGAATAGTTGGGCATCCTGCAGGAACTGGGAGTCAGCTGAATAACAATCAGAGCAGAGAGCTGCATAAAACAGCCTTATGTTTAGGCTGTCAACATTAGGGAAGGAGAAAAATGTAAGAAAACATCAAGAAAACACCAGCTCTTTAGATAAAGAAAATCTGCATTGTGTACTAAACCTCTCTGACCTAAAGATTCGCCTTTCATTGATTGCTTTATTTTATATCTTTCTTCTCAGGAAAGTAATGTTGCAAACAGGCCAGCAAGCACCCAAACTGAATAAAAACACTTTCTGGGAGAATCTTAAGAGGTAGGCTGACAGTTTTCATGCTCTGGGTTATAAATGATTGTGAAATAGTATAGGGAAGAACATTACGTTTTCTTTGAAATTCTAATTAAGATATACAGAGAATATCACAGAATAACACAGATCCTTACAGTTCCCACTAACTGCCTTCCTGTCAGCTTGATACTTCATTATTTATCATTGTCCATTTTTTATGGTAACAGTTGACATTAGATTATTACTGACCTGGTTGATATTTGAATTTATTCCCTAGAGGTTAAAGACTTTGTAGTTTCATTTTCTCAGTCCTTTTTAAAATTCATAATTTTAGAGCATGGAAAATATATTGTTCTATCAAGTTTATTTCCTTGACATTTATTCAGTGGAAAGTGTGATCCTAATATTAAAGGCATTTGATTTGAAGCCCAGGATACAAATAAATCTATTAACTCATCTTCCCTGAAACAGGGCACTTTATCACTGCAGTTCCTCTCATTGGTGTCTAGGAAGTTAATATGTTGAACAGCATAATTATTTGAACTGGTATTTGTTTTTAAAGGATTTGTAGGTGATAATAGATGGACCAACTCAGTTGTGTCAGAAAGTATTAAGAGTTGTGACTGCTAATGTAATGGTGTTGGTCTCATACAGAGCCATAAAATAACACTGTGTGCGAAGCAGTGACAGGATTTTACTCCAGCTCTTCTCTTTATCATATGTTATATTAAATTTAAACAAAATTGTTGAATTTCTTTGCGTGGGTTTTGATGTCGTCTTCTATGAAAGCTGTAATAATTTTTAGTTCTTTTAACTGGAGGGCTGCATAAGAATTCATACTTGCTAGGTGTGTTTCTCAAATAATAAGGATCTCATTAATGTTGCCAGCAGAACTAATTGGACTGTCACAGTAAGGTTCAGTACCCAGTTGGAGAATTATGGTGCGAGGCCAATAGAATTTAGCATATTCTGCTGGTGGGTAAAGCTGACATGAGTCATTAATGAGATGCTTCTAAAGCCTTACTCTCCACAAAAACGCAGGTATTCTGAGGGGCTTTCTTAGACTATGTAAATATGAAGGACAAATGCAAGAACTCTTCTAAATTTTTCAAAAGCAAGTTGTTGACAGTTCGAGATACAGTAAAGGTTTTCTCCTTTATCAGCACAGACATTGAAAGTACTGCCAAGTAGCACCTAGACGCCATAAATCATTGATGAGAATGAATAGTTTCAAATTAATACAAGAGAAAAACTCTAGGGCACAGGGCATCTAAAGAAGTCATTGTCTAGGGCCTGCTGCTTTTAAAATGGTCATTTCAGTTCCCATTAATTCACATCTCTAATTAGGAAATGGATTGATCTCTTGCTTCAATTTGCTAGTGATTGGCTGGTGTCCATGTCAGATCAGAAGTGTGCATACAAATTAAGTATTACTAATGACTGCTGTTGTATAAGTTTAAATAAATGTAAGTTAAATGAAAACTGTGGACTGTGTTCTATAGGCAGAACAAAAATATATTTCAGCTCTGATTTTATCCATAGCTCTTGTTGTTTATGCTCTGAATCGTAGTCAGAAACCATGAGCAACTGTATTTTCACTAGACTTCCAGGTGAAGAAAAGAGGACTGAAAATCTTTTGAAACAAAGATAAACAACCTAACAGTCTCGTCCTTGCTCATAGCATCTCTGCAGGCAGGTATAATTTCATCTGTGTCAGACTTGGTAACCACTTGGGGAAGAATGCATTATGAGGTACCAGGTTGTGAAGAGCGTGACGAGTGTCTGTTCCTGACAAGTTTTTGTACATGTTGGTTCTCTGAGTTGCTGGAGAGCATTGTATTCCTTATTTGTGATACTAATTCCTTAGGATGAGAAGAAACAATAAGTAGCACTTGTGACTGCACAGAAGCGCCAGCTGTATTTCCAAAGTTTGGTATTGGTGCATAGGCTAGATTTCAATTAGCATAATTACACTTCATCTTCCTAATTTTGCTTTATACTTGAAGATGGATAATTATTCTTACTCACTGCGTGTCTGAATGTGCTATTGAACAGCAACATCCACGTTCCCATATTTGGGTGCACTTCAGTGCAGACTGAATACACAGACTGCAGATTGCCTGCGAGTCTTTTCTCCTTATAATTTCAGTAACTGCAACAAATAGCAGTAACCTTGTAGGAAAACATCTGGAAACGCAACAAAGCTCAATTAGCCAACATTACAAAATGTCTACTCATGTACGTGTATATATGCATAAACATACAAACTCCCCACCAGAAACATAAGGGCCTGTTTGGGAACAGGCAGGGCTGCGGGAAGTGCTTTACCTGAAGAGCAGGAAGGAAGCTGACCTGGTATTTGACAGGAGTTTCTTACAGTGGAGGTGTAGCAGAAATGCTAAGTCATGGCTTGAAGCAGTGATTGAGCACCTGGTGGGAAGGCAGAGTCAGCCCAAGGGAGTTCTGTGCATGCAGTGTACCTGAGTGACCGGACAGGGTGAAGCCAGGATCCACCCCTTCCCAGACCTCATTTATGGGCTGGTGGTGGAGGTGAAGCTGTCTTGCTGGAGATCCCTATCTATCTGAGGCCTTCTAAAGGTAAGTAGCTTTTTTTTCTCCCATTTCTACATCTATGGGTGCTATGTTTGGGCTTGTTGATGTTTGCTGTAGCTGAAGACTTTGCCACCATGCTATTATTGCTGTACTAGAGGTAGAGTGGTATTTATCTTGTGATACCTTGAAATTCTTCTCTTGGAATTCTCTGTTTGCTGCTCTGAAACTTATTGTTGTGTAGGTTGGGACTGAATGTCTAATTGATGTCTTTCCTAACAGACTTGATTTTTTTTTTTGTCAGGATATAATAGGAAAAGTTATGCTCGTATTACTATGTATGAGCCCGCTGCTTTCTAAGACAAACACAGATGTAGTTTGTGGACACGCTCTGCATCCTTATGTATCTATTTGCACCTGTTCATTTGATGTTTTCCTCCTGCAGAGTTGCAGTAGGTACTTTTGAGACATTAAATAGCAGAACAATTCAAACCCATGATTTAGAACTGTCATTCTGAGGATGTATTCCCTTAGATGGACAGGTTGGGGTTATTTCTGAACGTGAAATGAGTTCACGTAGAAGAAGTCTGAGGAACTCTTACAGTAAATGCTCGATTTTCTTTATTTTCTCTTCTTTTTTCATTAAGTTTGCTTAATGATTTTCATGTGAACTGTTCTGAAGAATTCCTAGTATCTTGTTGTGGGAAGAAACTTCTAAAGGAAAGATGAACTCAGTGTGCTCTTTGGATAGATTGATAATAGATCTATCAATCAGTTTTCTTTGGTAATGCGTTGGCTCTTGGGACTCTTTTAGTATGCATTTCAAACTGATGAGTCATTTTGACACTTCAGAAAATACCTTCATTCAGAAGTCATAGCTTTTCACATCCACGCTCTGTTAACCCACTGCGTGTTCATCTGTCTATTCTTAAAACATAGTATTTATTCATTCATTGGTTTGGTTTTGTGATACTAATTCCTTGTTACGGAAGTGTCCTAAAGGTGCTATCTGTTGTCTTAGCAAGGTTCTTTCTGGTTTTGTTCTCCTAATTATTTACTGCTGGAGTATTATTTCTACTGGAGAAGGAGAAACGATTCTGTGGTTTGTTCAGAATACAGTGCTTTGAGATGTTTGTAATCTTCCTCTGAAGATAGTTTTATTTCTGAAAATCTCATTATTTTGAAAGAACAACATTAGTGTTGCTACTGAGCTTTTCCTTGTTAGCGAGGACGTGATTTGTTTCAGGTGGCTGTATCTATGGAGAAACACTTTTCTCCCACAGTTTTCTGGAGCTGCTTCAGATCTTGAAAAAAAAAAAAGACACTAATTTTAAGCTAATGCTGTGTGTGTGTAAATGTTTAACAACATCAGTATCTTAGTCTAAAGGCCTTCTCAATAATATAAGCTCTGTAAATTCAAATACTGTTTTTCATTGTATTGGTAAAGCTGTCATTCTCATATCAGTAGCTTACTTGGTTTTTCCAG